TATCTCTTGGAAAAATCGTAGTTTTTCTCTTTCTAAAATATGTATATATTTTTGGTGGACTCGTATATGAATATTTCCCATAAAGAGAACAAATTTCTATTATTTGCAGGAAAATAGGTGAATCTAAAGATCATCTTAAGCAAAATAAGCCAGGCTCAGATAAATGTATTTTCCCTAATATACAAAATCTTAAAACAGATAAAAGTAAAAAGGTGCTATGAGAATGGATGGGAGAGTATTAGACAAGAAGAAGGAAATTTACAAAGATAGATGTGATCAAATGTTAGATGACAGTATGAAAATTAGATGCAGTCATTTGTAAAATTAATGTGTACAAGATAGTTTAGAGCTCATTGGCATGTTTCAAGTTGTTGTAGAGTTCATTTATGTCCCTACAGGAAACTTTGGAATGCTAAAATAGGATATACACTGCTTTGAGGAGTGAAAAGCCTGGAAGGAGATTACTTTTGGACATATTCTTATATTGGATTGCATAATTCATATCATTCCTCTGAGTTGTGAACATAGATAACATCTCAACATAATTTATTCTTCTACAAATTTTGGGTGATAGATAATGGCATCTAGCATGTTTTTTGAATTTTCCATTTCTAGTTTTTTAAATTAATTAATTATTTTGGTATATGGTTTTACTGCACCGCTTGAACTTGTGGTGTTCCACCTGTCTCAACCTCTCCAGCACTGGGATTACACGCGTACACCACCACAACCAGTTTCAGTGGCCAGCATGGTGTAGGGCCAGCATGACATGCAGTACTAGGGATGAAACTCGGAACCTTGCTCTTGCCAGGCAGGCTCATAGACTGCCATGCTGTCTCCCCAGCTCCCTGAATTTTCATATCTAAACTGAAAAGAATGACATACTCAGACACAAATGATTGACAGATGTGTAAAGAAGTGTTCTATGTATGTAAGCAGGATGGTTTGTACCACTGTACTGTGCATTTTTGCAGGTCTATGGAAAGGAGAAAATAATACTTGATTTGTTTTGTCTTCCTTTTCAATTGTTTGTACTTTTTCTCTTAATTTCTTATACACTTCTTTTTTCCTTTTTTCTTCCAGTTTTACATGCATGTATATGGTTATATGAATAACTTGTTGGAAGACAACACTATGTATTAAAACAAATACTGTGAAATTTTTGTTACTTTATTAAGTGAAATTCTGTATCACTTGTAATTTTTCTGTCTTAATATTATTTTATACTCTCTTTAAAAAATAGAAACAAGAAGTGTTCCAGATTCATGCGATCCAGGCTGCTGGGACTTTGTTCCATGTTCATTAGTAGTGATAAAACCATGGAGCATTATTTTTATAGTTATTCATTAATGACAGCTAATTTTGTAATGAGATTATAGTGTCAGCATTTGGAGCATTTTTAAAAATGTTTTTAAATTTTTATTTTTTAATTTACTTATATTTTAGGGAAGGTTCTACAGGGTGTTCAGGGGCTCACTACTAGATCAGACTCATAGTGATTCTCCTGTTTACAGCCTCCCAAGTGTTGGGATTATAGGCACGCGCCACCACACCCAGTCTCAATTGCCATCTCAGCAGGACCTGGGGGCGGGGCTGATAGGGCAGGCTTGGAGCATATTTTTGACAATGAAATCTAATAAATTAACTTCTTACATTTCATAAAAGCAATTTCTTATGAATATATTTTGTCCCTCTCATACCACATACTTCCTTTCATTCTATTTTATTCTAACTTTGGTGTTTACATTATACAGTATTGTAGTGGAGGAAAAATTAAAGAATGGGTTGCAGTATTTTTAAAATAAAGTCCTGAACTACTAAAGGTACAACAAGAGCTCCTATTGTATCTATTATAGCTATAGAATTCTTACAGTATCTACCATTGGTGATCTGACAAATCATTGCACGTAACTGATTTTTCTTAGGTCTTTAAACCAGGTATTGGTTTAAACCAATACCTGACCTTTGAAAAGTCTCTTGATTGTAGGTTTTCTAGGCCTTTTAGGTGAAGACCTAAAACTTGTTCTAGTTTTGTGATTTTTGTCATGCAACCCCACATGATCCACTGAATGTGTTTGAAAATGCCAGTTTGAAAATAATACTCATGGGATTAGGAATGAACACGTCTTGCTTGAAATCTTGTGATTTAGCTTTAGTACTTACTATAATCAGTTCATGTCTTTGAAATATTGAGCTGTCTGACAGCTTAAAATCCTACATTTCCTTCAAACTTGAGCCTGGCTTTGAAGGAGAAAGGAGTAGCGTAAGGGTGGATTTTTGCAAAGCTCTCTGGAGAGAATTCACTTAAATGCATTTGTTGGCAGGGGACTAGGAATGCTAACAGGCTACTTTCTCTCAGTCCTTTTAGGGTTTTGCCCTTAGCCTAGATTAGCATTTAGCCAGATAATTTTTTGTTAGGGCCACAGAAGTCTGTTGTTTGGGCCTTGTTCAAAATATCATTTTCCTTTCATGAAGAATCATGAGAAAGGAGCAAATGCCCTGTCCAGGTCTGTTAACCAGTTGGGTACTAGGCAAAACCTAGTTGCTCTCACATTCTTGCTTTCCCACTGCACATGTATTTCTCATCTAGGTTGGGAAAATGAATTTTTATGAACATCTCTTTAATGATATCATCTACTACTTAACAAGAGTCTTTTTTTAAGAATATAGTTGAGTATCATATGTTTGTAGACAGCACTGGTATACTGCAAGATCTTTATTTCCATGTTAGTGTAAACATCTGAATGAGACTCCAAAAATTAAAACAAATAGAACAATGGGCAATAGAGAGAAAGTATATAGTCCTGGAGTGTTGTCTACTTTTCAGTACATCAATTTGTTTCTTCATTCATATCATGGAGGTAGTTCTGCCCACTTATACTTAACTTAGATCCAATGCAGTGTGATTTTTGATATGTCTTATGAATTAGAGGTTCCATTCTATATGCAGATTTTATTATCAGAATAACTATATTTAGCAAAAAGCCTCTTTGAACTTAAAAATATATCACAGTTATCAAAGGCATTTAAGAATAACATGCTGAAAATTCAAGTGTTTTGAAAAATAAATATAGACAGAGCCTTTCATATATCATATGGGAAGACACAGTACCTAACTTTAAGAAACATGATTTCAGGTATATTGAAAATATGAAGATAAAAATCCTGCATAGAGACAATCTGATATGAAAAACCGCAAGGCAGGAATGAACTTCAGATATTTAAGTATAGAGAAGGTGGTGGTGTTCATTGTAAATGAAATTTCGTTTTTAAGTGTAAAGGTGAAAATTTAAAAGGACACTATTCTAACCTTTTATTCTATACTAATTAACAAAAGCTCAAAAAACTTTTAATAACTTAGAAATTAGTAAGTTTAATATCAACTTAGGAGAAGCCTAAGTTCTAAAGGGTTGAGGAGGAGAAAGTAAAGTTAGCATAATTTTCTGGAAGTCATTCTAAAAGATTTCCTGGAAAAAGAGATTTTAGAGGAAAATGGTAAGAAAGACTTGGAGGGACATAGAATGCAAAAAAAAAAAGGATCCTCTGTCCTGGGAATTGGACAATTTCTGGATGTTGTAAACTTCAGTCATTAAAGAAGAATATTAGCTAAAAGTGCAAGAAATGTTAATTCATACTCTTCATTCATCTTGACTTTTTACCCCTTGGCTTTAGATCTACTTGAAAATCTGTAGGCAGTTAGCTATATATTGTGTGTTCTGCTCTTTGAATCCCATCTTGCCTAGAAATTGAGATTGTGTTGTGAGGTTTTCTGTTTTCTCATCATGTGCCCTTCTCTGTTTCTTCCTATTTTCTCACAAAAGGGGAGCATGTTTTCAGATGAGACACCTGGTCTTTCCTGCTGTATGCTATGACTGTTTCTGCCTCCTACCTTTCTCACCCCAGGAGTGTCTCTCCCATTTTCATCTCAGCCATATGAGCTCAGTCCATTTGAGTTGAGGCTTCAGAAATCATTTCTCCAAATGTTAACTGGCTACTTTTTGGTTTACCTTTTTGTAGATTTTCTAGTTTTGTTGTATTTGACTTTGTCTTGCCAAAATGAGAACAAGATAAATAGGTGATAGTCATGGCATAGTTTCATGTCTGAAAATGTAGTTCATATATATATATATATATATATATATAATAGGCTTTATAGTATCATACAGAGTCATGGATTTTAGATTCTGTATATTTGTTTATCTTTAAAAGAAAATTAAAGAAGTCTAAATCTGTAGAAGATCATGAAAATGAGAAACAGTTGAGTAGTGAATTGTAGAAATCAGTAGATTGTAATGTCATAGATTTTTCTTTTCTGTCTCCTCTGCCCTTCCCATCTCCTTTCTTTTAAATTTAGCACCCTCTTTCTAGTGCTTAGGACCAGCCTAACCATGTATCATTGATGTTTGTCTGTTGAATGAGTACTAATTTAATTTATGCTGTGGGTATTAATTGGTAACTTTAAACATCTTGCAATAGATTTTCAGAATGTTGTGAAAAAACACAGTCACTAATCATCTTCTTAAAGATTGAAAGATAACATGACAATGCCTTACCATTTTCTCCTAGGAGAAAGTCTTTGTTTTTGCCTTAATTTCTTGTTTATTTGAGAAGAGAACAGAATGAATAGGGTGGGAAGTCATACTAGATAAATCTGGCTTTACTTAATGTTTTTGGTCTTTCTCTTGGAAAAAAAATCATAATGGAACAGAAGAAAAGAAATCTGAGGAAAATCTACTTTGCCAAGTATGGAGTTTGGATAAATTGTTTATTTAAGGATGTTCATTCTTTTACCTACATAACATTTCATGGTAGGTGTTATTGCTTATCTTACTCTCCATGTTTTTTCCTGTGGCAGCTTGCCTCACACTGTTTAGAAACTGAGAATGTTAGAGATCAGGTCCTTGAGTTGTTCACTACTGAGAAGGGTCACAGATCAGGAGCTAAGAAACATTTGTGTCAGGAGACCACTGATTTTTTTCATTTTGTTCTTTTTCTTTTAGCTCAAGCCAGGGCAGAACAGCTGCAGGGACAGTGACAGCGAAAGCGCCAGTGCAGAATCCAAAGGTTTCCATCGGAGCAGCTCTCGTGAAAGGCTCAGCGATGTAAGTTAAAAAACAAAACAAACAAACAAATAAACAACAACAGAAAAAAAAAAAACAGAAAGAAATTAAAGCCACTAGAGCAGACTGCTGGTTCATTCTTACTCACATCATTCCTCCTACCTTTGATCACTATGTGTGCCCAAATATTACAGCTTAGACTTTTTTGGTATATGTATTTTTGTACCCCATAGTTGTAGTGTCATTCTAAATTGTATATTGCAGCCATGTGGATGAGTCACGGCCATTGCTTGGCCAATGTGCTCTCTGTGAATGCCTGAGAGAGTGTCTTCTCCCCATGTGACTCTCCTTAGGCCCACTCTACGTCATCGATCACTTTCCTCTTTGGCCCCATAATCTTCTTGATCAGAAAATTTGGGACACTACCGAGGTACATGACGTTACAGTACAAGTTCTCATATGTCCTGAGTCTTAATTGCCCTAAAATGGATTTGAACAGATTAAAGAGTAGGTGGAAGTATCTGTTTCCTTAGAAACAACAGATTACAAAGTAAGTGTTCATATTTTATTAGTGTTAGGAATGGGAGATGGTATTAGTTGTGGGCCTTCTATAATTTCTTCATTCTGGAAAGTAGTAACAATACCTTTGTGTCATGTTTTTTTGTTTTGTTTTTCCTGTAGAAGGGATGACTAATCCTGGCCATTTACTTGGGAGATAAGGAATTAAATTTGCTACCCAGTTTCTATGGGGTAAACTTTCAGAGAGCAAACCTTACTTTTGGAGGTTCATATCAGCCAATGAGACCTGCCTCTAGGTGACCTACCATGGATATGCCCTCTGCTTTTCCTTAAACTGCTTGCCTCTTTTGTACTCTTCTGCCTTCCTCCCCTTATCTGACATGATATCAGCACTCTGAAAGCAACATTGTAAAATGAGTGACGTAGAGAAAAACTTTTTTTATTTTTTTTTTAAATTTTATTGATAAACAGATAGCAATGAGACAGTTTCAAATCAAATCGGAAGTACAGTTTCAACAAATAATACACTGCATATATTCTTCTTAGT